AAACAATAAATAATAGCATGCATTATAATAAAAACTGGAATTACGATTGAAATGAGAAACCTGTAAATATTCCAATTGGCCTTTGGGCAGATCCTCCACAGATGTTGGCAGGATTCTGGTCTTTTTGCCAATTTGATCGTACAACGGAAATAGAAATTACAGAAGGAATGAAAGGAATGCAGAAAAAGAAAAGAGAAACAAATAAGAATATTAAAAACTGGAAAGGTTGCTCTGGAAATAAATTGGGCAGCATTTCGTTGTATGAATGCGGCTCCCTTTCTGAGGTCCCCTTCTTCCCCTTTTATAAAAATGGAATTCTAACGGTTATAACTTGAAGAGGGTGGACTTTGAGGCAGAATAATCAGGGAGTAGTGGTCCACTATTTGGGACTTGGAACTGCTTCTTTCACGTGCATTTGAAGTGGGGCGTTTTTGCCTGCATGACGGTCGTCACAAGGTGTGACGGTCGTCACCCGTGTGACGGTCGTCATGGAGCTGTGACGGTCGTCACAACAGCAAAATCGGCATTCTGTGCTTTTCATGATGTTTTCATCCTTTTTTCGTCCATATATCATCTGAGATTGCTTCTTTTCTTCATATTGCCTTGTTTAGACGTGATCATTAAATACCTGCAAAACATCAGACAAATAACACAGAAATAACCCGAAATCGGATCGAAAACAGTTAAACTTCAGTTAAATTATGCATCAAAATATATATACGATTTCGTGTTATCATGTTGTATAGAAGCCCATTGTAGAAGGTATAAATAGTCACCCAGTCTTCTAGACCATGGTGAGGACATGCTCTCATCATATCTTTGAATCTTTCCTATGCTTCGTAGAGAGATTCGGCATCTTTCTGTCGAAATCCGTTAATTTGAGCTCTTAACATAACAGTTTTGCTTGGCGGAAAGTATCTCGCTAAGAAAATGTTCTTCAACTGTTCCCACGTCGTAACGGAGTTGGACGGCAAGGATTGTAACCAAGCCCAAGTTCTATCTCTAAGAGAGAAAGGAAAAAGACGAAGTCTTATTGCGTCTGGAGTTACGCCATTTGCCTTCACTGTGTCTGCGTACTGCACAAACTTCGTTAAATGTTCACTCGGATCCTCGGTTGCATTTCCTGAGAATTGATGTTGTTGTACAGCTGAGAGCAATGATGGTTTTAGTTCGAAATCATTCTGATTGATAGCGGGGGCAGCAATGCTACTGTGAGGCTCTAGTTAAGATGGGGTAGCGTAATCCTTCAGAGGTATGTTCTGAGGTCCTTCAGCCATCTTTGACTCTTCTTCAGATTCAGGAGTGTGAGCGAGAAGCTCGGGAATATTACGTCTTCGTTGATGTTCTATGAATCGTCTTCCTAAGTGTAGGAAGCGCTCAAGTTCGACGATTGTTGGTAGCAAATTTTCGCTTTGTGAGCGAGTAATTGGCATACAATCGATGAACGAGTAAATGGGAAATAAAATAGTTAACCTAGTCTATACTACGTAACAGAGGTTTACACTATTGACTAAACGGGTCCCCGGCAACGGCGCCAAAAACTTGATCGCGACTTTCTAAGTCTAACTGAACCAACTGCAAGTGCACAGTCTATCGTGTAGTAATAAAGATATCGATCCCACAGGGACTCGTAATCAATCTAGTGCTATCGAGTGTTACTATGTTTAGCTACGTCGGAAAAGGTTTTAAGGAAGTAAGTGCGGAATTAAAGGCTAAATTAAGAGAAAGTTATAAGGTTTTTTTAAATAAAATAATAATAAGAGAAATCGGTATGCAATACTTTAGTTTTCGGGGATTCGACATGTCACCGGTGCGGTTTAGTATTTTCAAAATAGTTTTCAGGAGAAAATAGTCGTTTAAAGACTTTTGTCTCACGTTGGTTGTTGACGCTAGTCACAACTCTAAGGCGGAATGTATGCTTTCGCTATCCCATCCGGGATTAAAATCGCTTTTTGAAAACTATTAAGTTCTGATTCCTTTTAAAGCGCTTTCGCTGTATTTAAAATGAATGCCTAGTTTTTACTATCCGATTCGAACCCCAGCTTTCGCGTGCCGGTTCGTACCTTAATGAATTTCCCACTGTCGTGGAAAACTACTGTAAATAATTTCTCGCTGTCACGACGAAGATTTATTTAGGAAATTAAATTAAAAACTACGGCCAGAAACATGTTTGAAAAGCAGAAAAAACACCGGATGTTATCGAATCTTGTCCTACTAATTTATTACATACCGATTAATGCATTTTAGATAGACATGGGATTTAGAACTTGCATAATTGAATAATGGCAGAATAATAAGTAAACATGCATTATAACGGTAATGAAAAATCAATTAATAATAAAAACCTGTAAATAATTCAGCTCTCGATTCTTGAGTAGTCCTCCACAATGTCGGCAGGATTCTACTTTGGCGAGAAGTAAATGTGCGGAAAAAGGAATAAAAGCAATGCAATAAAAATAAAGGAAAGGAAAAGGAAACAAGAACAATATTTGGCTTCAGTAATAAAATTTGACAGCACTTTGTTATCTTCAATGCGACCCCCTTTTTCTGGTCCAGGACTCCTCCTTTTATAGCTGAGATTCTCTGCGTGAAGTCCTGAGGAAATGGAGTTGATGGTGAGACAATATAGGGAAAAACGTTCCACCAATATCTCAGTCTTCGTGGACACGTTCTCATTCTGAACGTTAGTTTGTTTTTGCCTGCATGACATTTGTGAGGGAGGTGTGACGGTCGTGAGGAGTGTGACGGTCGTGATGGGCCTGTAACGGTCGTGATGTCTGTGACGGGCGTCACAAGGGTGTGACGACCGTGACATCAGAAAAATCTTTGTTTTCTGCTATTTCATGTCTCTTTTCTTCTGTTCTATGCATTTGATCATGAGTTTTCTCTGCCTTGCTCATTTGGAGTGTGAACTTCATATACCTGCAAAACACTTGACAAATAGCTCGGAACAATCTGAAATCGGGGTGAAACCAAACATTAACAGCATAAAAACATGGCATTTATAATATACATTTTCGCGTCATCAACAAGTTTGCATAGAATTCCAACCCAATTCTTTTGTTTTTGTCTTAGATCAAATTGTTCAATTTGATCCAACCCTTTTCTTCCAACAAGTTAGAAATTTCTTCATAAACTTTCAGCTTTAGGAAATCAAATGCCCTTTCGGGCAATATGTTGTAATTCCTAACTCTCAAAAATATTTTAGCATGTTCTTGAGAGATAAACTTGTCTATTGGATAGTTAGGTTATTGTGGGGCGGTTAAAGTGGATGTGGCAAAACCTTTGTTGTGCTTTGGTGCCATTAACTGCATAAGAAAAATCTCACAACAAACAATGTAACATGGCAAAAAGTGAAGAAAAAATATTAGAAGATAAGAGAATATTGCAATTTACTAGAAGAATGTACGAGAAGAAAAAGAGTTGTTTAAAAAAGTGACAAAGAAGACACTATTTATATGCCTGGATTTGCTGCCATCATGGCGCAATCCACACCCTATCGTGCCACGATGGGCAATGGTAGGGTCCAACCGCCAAAATTTTAACATCTTTGTCCAACAACTACGATACATGGCATCACGCCATGATACTCTTCTCGTCGTGCCGGGATGAGACCTTCATCTTGCCATGATACTCTTTTTTACATGTAGGGATGTAGGCATGGCAAGGAAATCCAGTCCCTCCCGAACCCGCCCCGAAATTATAAGGGGAAACTCAGTTTAATTAGGTGCGGGTGTGGGTAAAACTCGATTTTCTATTACGGGTGTGGGTGCAGGGACGGGGGATGCTACTACCCGCCCCGCACCCGACCCCGGTCTATTTTAATTTACTTTTATGCCTCATTTTAATTATTTTATTATACATTTATTAGAGTTATTTTAATTTTTAAAAATAGTTTTACTAGAAAAACATGTTTATTAGTTATTTTTCTCTTTAGAAACATGTTTATTATTAAAATAATTAATTATTTAACTAAATTATTAATTTTTATTGTTATGAAAATAATACTTATTTTAAAAAAATAGTTTTGTGGGTGGGGTGGCTCTGAGTGGTAGTTTCTTACCCCCGACTGGGTGCAGGTGCGAGGGTGGGTCTGTTTCGGGAAGGCGGGTTCAGGACTGCTTAAACCCGCCCCGTTGCCATGAATTTAGCATATTAAAGCATTGGTTATAAAGTTTCATGATACATAATACATACTTGGAGTTTGACAAACATGTCTTTGATTTTTTCTAAAAGCCCTTCATCTTATTCTGTCTTAGGTTTTTTCTTGATGAATGAGGAAGGTGGATTTACATAGTAAGGTAGTTTGAGACTTGGATCATTGCGGATTTTTTTCTTTGCTCTTCTCAAGGGTGAGTTTCTATCTATCATCTTATCAAGTGTATCCCCCTCACAGAGTATTCACTCATTTTTTTCACTCATCTCTTTTTTTCTTCAACCTCTCACTCTTCTTCCATATCCCATGCTTCATCTACTTCTTCAACCTCATCTTGACCCACTTCTTTTCTCAAAACACTAGAACTTGGTGCTTCACTTCCCAACTTTATTTCCTTACAAGGCTCATTCTTTGAATTGTCAACACTGTTACCCACAAATCCTCCATTAGAATCTAGTATTGCTGCTACCTATCGAAACAATTTCCATATCTGCATTTCCAAATTTTTTATTAATGCATCATAATTCTTGCTCATGGTCTCATGTTTCTTATTCACCCATTCAAAACCACTTTGAGTCATCTAGATAAATTTATTTAGAATTTCTTTAAGTGGCGATGGTTTCCTCAGAATATGATCTTGTCGAAAGATAATTTACTTAAAAGAGACATGTATAATCCTATGTTATTTACCTGGGAATTAATACGCATCAAAACTCCTAAATCTACTCTACAAAACATCTTCCATACAATCCTTTTTACATCTTAATCTACGTATGAATCCTATATTTTACATCAAAAAATCTTCAATGAACCGAAACATACTCAGTATTGAGGATTAATAAATCTAAGAGAAGATAATTTCTTCTAATAAATCATCTATGATCATTTCCTCCAAATCCAGTGCTACACACTCCTCTTCCTGTTGAAGATTCATCCATCCACCACTTCTTTTCATTAAATCACGACCAACGACATCCTCTAATGTCTGGTCTAACTCTGGTCTCAAACTCAAATATGAACTAACATTGTCCCATACTTCTTTAACAATGTAATTTCCTTTTGGCATTGGTTTGAGCCAATGGTTGAAAGCGAAAGGTCTCGGAAAGTATGTTGGCGACTTTTCATATATTTGAAAGAGTGTCTCGTTGATCAAGTTAAAAAGAAGCTGGTGATCTAACATGTTGTTATTCTCTTCTGCAGAATACTCATTTTCATGAAGCAAAGATTCTTCTAGTGCTATGAATAAGGACGGTTTTATTGGTTGGTCCACCGTGTATCGCATTTGAATCTGCTCATTTCCTATGAAACCGGAGTATTCAAGAATATCTTTCACGTATTTGAAATTGGAATTGTTTTCTGAATATGATTTCAAGTACAGGAAATGATTTTCAAGACTCTTGTTAGTGTCTTCGGCTGTTTCGCTAGCGTTTGAGTCTCGTCGTGTATTTGATTCTTTTCCTGGATTATATAACCAAAACACTATTAGTAATGATATTCACAGTCAACCGATCACAAACCATCTGATGTGAGACTTTTAAAGTAGTTATAACTAAAATCAAATATTTAATGATCTGACGATTATGATTATTTTGACCGTGTATATCAATTAAATTTTTCACGCACATTAACATAAATTTGTTACCTTCCGATTGGTTGATTGTATTGTCTTGAAAGCTAGTTTCAAGTGATGTTGTTACTTCCTTGCTAAGATAAGTATTCATCATGCTTATTTCCATATTTTCTTGAGGAAAACTTTCATCGCTTCGGTTATAAGTAACTCCTTCAATTTTCTCCGCTATCTTATCAGATAAATGACTAGGATTCAGAACTCTGCTACTCCCTTCAACTGTTTCGTCAGTTCCTGCGTCGTTATCACTTTCCACTGCATTATTTCCTATATCAGTTGTATCAAGAAGAGCTTCTTGTAGAATGAATTCTAAAGACTCAAGATTCGGCATAGAACAATTGCTTCTCATAAACCTAGGAGCATGCCTACTCTTGTGAACCTTGCTATCCATATCATTTGTCAATTTTAAGCTTTTCGACTTTGAGCTTTTCCACTTGATTTCTTTGCTTAAGCTTTTCTCAAACAACTGAGTATATCTATCCATTGATTCGTTAAGAGAGGACGTTCTTTTCATCAGGCGAACTTCACGTGTGTTGGAATCAAAATCAAAATCAGAATCAGAAGCCTTAGTTTCATTCAAGCTTCTGCTTATTTTGTTTTCTTGAATCGCGCCATCGTCCACGCTTTCTGAGATCTCTTTCTCATTGTTGTGGATTGCGTGAACTGATGTTTGGTGACCGCTTCTTTTGAGTTCAACAACTGCTTGTTTGATCTTCTGTTTTATAACTTTGAACTGATGAAGAACCACTTGATTCCATCCTTTGTGGCTTAATCCTTCAGAAGGCCTCGAAGAAACGCTTGGACTTTTTTCCACGGCGCTATCGATTATACGACTTGCGGAAGGCTTCTGCGTTTCATAAGAAATATCATTCACTGAATTGGATCCAAACTTTTTTGGTGCCTGAGTTCCAATAAGAAAATTTTCTCCTTTGCGGAAGTTCCAGATTTCGGCTTGCTTGGATCGGAAGGTACTAGAGCTAATGTTTTTCTTCTTAGAAGGTGCAGCTAAAGGAAATGTTCCTGATTTTGTCAATCTTGCTTTGTTGTAAGAAGCTTGACGACTTTTTTTACCGCCGAAGTCGATATCTTTTAGAAACTTGAGTAATAAATTCTTCTCCATACTAACTATCTCCAAAACATCATCATTGTTCTTAAATTTAATCGAAATGTTTCTGGTAAGAGAACTTTCTGCTGCGTTTGATGTTTCTCTATGTTGACTGACCTGAAATTTATATTTTATATTCGATTAAATTCTAGTTATTATATACAATCAAAGAATCGCAGAGAGTGACACTGACAAAGACATGTCGTCACTGATAAAAAGTTTAAAATGAATTAACTGAATCGGATCCTGACACGTGTCTGGACACGTCTTTCATCAGAAGTGTAGGTGGCCATGATGACTATAAAATAAAATATGATTATGAAATTTTTAAACATACCAAGGAAGATTCTGCTTCTGCTTCTGCTTCTGTAACTGCATTTTGTTGGTCTTGCAAAGTTGTCTTTCTCTTATCTGCATAAAGATTAAGAAGTCTGATCAGCACTTATAGTCAAAATCAATTTTAATCAGAAACAGCTAAACATGTCAAAATCAATTTTATAATCAATTTTATGCATTTTAGTATCAATTTTGGATATGAAATAGCTTACTTTTGACATTTTTTTTCTTTTTGTGACGAAAAGCCCTTTTAAAACCCCAATGATGATAATCAAGAATATGAAACCAGCTCCAAACACATCCTTGATTAACTTTCTGAATTCCAACACTCGATTTCTCTGAATTAATCATCTGGTTTCCCATACCAAATAATCAGCTTCTCTAATAATCACTTTTTTCCACTACAACCTTCCCCTGCAGATTAATAATCAAGTTATAATCAATTTACACAGGCTTGAAGCTTCAGTTTCATCAAACACCATCAAATAAAACCGAAAATTGGAACAGTTTTCATAATAATTGAGAATTTTAACAGAAAAAAACAAGCATAGAAAACACATAACGTGACAACAAAGTTAATTAAGAAAAACACACACATGATTCAACCTTAATGATTGGCTCATGCTTCAATAATTCTTGTCGCAGAAATTCTAACCTTTAATAATTTTTGTTGCAGAAATTCTTGTGATGAATAACAAAGGAGAAGAGTTGTTCAAAACAAGGTGGCTAGTGTTATTGTGGAATGTATAACAAATAAATATTATTTTTTTCTCATAAAAAATGAAAAACATAAAATTAAGTATTAAATTAAATTAATGTTGTGGCTACGTTGAAAGGAGAATAAAAAAGTTGTTATGAAAGTCTTGTTTTTGGTCTGGTTTGTTTCTAGATTAGATAGATTCATATATAAGGACACACCAAACTTGGTCTTTTATTTTTGCTTTGACTAAGACTAAAAAACAATGACTATACTATTCAAAGTCTAAATTATTATTATTATTTTTTATCTATTTGAAAATTTTGTATATTTTGATTAAATTTTGTTTAGTCCAAAAGGTGGTTTTCTAAATAGGTAAATCTTATAAACTAAGCTTTCTTGTTTTTTTATTTATTTATTAAAAAATAAATATGAAATGAATCCAGACAAATTCAGTCAAGGTTATTCTTATATGATAAGTTTATTTAAAAGATAGTATTACTTTTAAGTTATGAATTGTAATTTTTGGTTCAAAAATTAATTTTAATATTGAAATAGTTTCATATAAATATATTCAAATATAAATTATTTTTATTTTTAATTAAAATCATTTTACTTAAAATAAAATTTCATCACCTCACTACAAGAGTAATATATAACAAAAAATAATCACACTAACATTATATTACCAAAATATTAACGAAATAATATAGTAAAATTGATAATAATATTTTGTATTAATAGAAAATTAGTATATAAAAAAAGGATGAATATAATATTAATATATACAAAATAAATACTGATTATTTTGTTTTTTTCTCAATTAAGTTATTTAACGATGTAATTCTTTTAAATTAGTTATTTATAAATATTAACTTATTAATATTAATAACTAAATGTGAATAAATAATGCCGCTTAAGATTTGAGTTTGAATCAATATTTATACTCATTTATATTTAATTAATATATATAACTTGAGCTACTCGTTCCATCCCATTTAATTTTTTAATTGGTTTTAGTTAAAAGTATTTTCTTAATTAATATTTTAATATTTTAGTTAGTAAAATATTAGAGATATTTGTAATATATTTAGTTCATGTTTGTAAGCTAGAACATTTTAAATAGTTTTTAAATATAGTTTAGATAGTAAAAATGTTTATTTTGGACTAGTTAAATAGTATGAATGATTTTTTTAATGAATTTTAGTTAATTAGTAAATAAATACTTTACAATAAATGTTTATCATTTATTTTCAGATGAAGATCAACTTATTTCAAAAGTAAATTTTTATAACTTACATCAAATTATAATTTTTAAATTGAATATAATTTAATAACTAATTAATATTTTTATTTAATTAATAATTAAATTCAATTCAATTTAAAAATTATAATTTAAAGTAAGCTAAAAAATTTACTTTTGAAAATAAGTTAATCTCTGCTCTTTATTTTATTAGATTTTATTAACTAGGAATTTATAATTTGTTTTTATAAAATTAGAAAACATTTATTTAATTTAATCATACTTGATTTTACTAAGCAAAGTCTATATTTTGGGCTAAACAAAAGTTATTAATAATTTTATGATACATAGTTAATTAGTTAATATATATTATTTAAATACGTAGTTAATACATAATAGAAAACTTGTTTAATTTACTATTATAAATAATATATTTAATAATAAAATTTTCATCTCATCCAATAAAAAATTAAAAAATAATTTCAGTTTCATATTTTTTTAAATACTATATATTCTCTTGATTTTTTTTATATAACCGAGATAAAAACAAATTGAGAAAATGTTTCGATTTCCAACAAACGTAGTTTATGTTTTTATTTCTTTAAAAATGATGTCTTTCTTTTTATTTGAAAATTAAATGATCAATTTTTTTGATTAATTTTATAATGGAGAGGTTAGATAATCAGATTTTACTATAAAAATCACTAGTTCATTAAATTTTAATATAAACCTAACTCATCTATAGTTGCTCCAAACTCGTAAACCACCAGTTTAGAAAGGATTGTAAGACAGAAAAAAACTTCAAGGTTTTGCGTTGTATATTGTTATTCTAACCCCAATCTTGAACAAAATATTTTTTGCTCTTACAATCTATCTCACATTACGGTATTTTTGTTATTGTCGTTGTTTTTTTCACCTCTTGCAAGACTATTGTTATATTTTGAAATAACATTACTATATTGTCAATCAAAGAAAACACTCCACAATTTATTGTTTTTTTAGTTGACAACATTGATAAATTTATCCATAAACATACCGTAAATTACAAGCAATGTTATTGTTTCACAATACAAAATTTAAAAAATTTTATATTGAATATTGCAACACACGAAAAAGTGGTTAATAGTAAAAAACAAAAACAAAAATAAAAACAATACATACTTTTAATTTTTTACTATTCACCATTTTTTTTTAAGTAATATGTTACCTTAATTCCTTTAAAGTCAAGGAGAAAGTCCCTATTTTATTTTATTTTTTAATTAAAAAGAAAATAATAGTTTTCCTAGATTTTATAAAAGAACTGAGGGGTATAAATACTCACTTAACCTACAATAAATCGATATCCTATACTTATAAAGTAACAACGCTCAAAATATTGTTAACATATCAATCCACAAGAAACCCTCTATATCCAATAAGAATGTGAATGCTACTCCTATATATCTTGGACGTTATCTTATGAAACTCAAACATTGATAATAAAGTATTTGCCATGAAATCAGTGAAATTTATAAATGTTTGAAAGATCTCTAAGATGAATTGCAAGTGTAGAAAAAAAATTTGTTCCAAAGTTGGTGTTCTTACACAATATCTTATCTTTTAACTAAAATTTTATGTTATGTATCTAATCTTTATATATATATATATATATATATATATATATATATATATATATATATATATATATATATATATATATATATATATATATATATATATATATATATATATATATATATATATATATATATATATATATATATATATATATATATATATATATATATATATATATATATATATATTAAAAAGCAATGAGTATGCAACAAAATCTAAATTTGTTATTCTCCAATAATAACAACGACGATGATGAATTAGATTTGTAAAAAAATTGTACTTATAGATTGAAACAAAAACAATTTAACATAAGAAACTTTGTATTTTAATAAAAATATATATATTTCTAAACAATGTAAACAATATAATTTAATATTATGTGTAAATAATACAATTTATATTTTAAAAAAATCTTTTTCCCTCAATTTTTGACAGAAATCAAGAGGTGTGTGATGTTAGCTTTTAAAAAATAAAAATGTTGTTGTTGGGGTCGAATCAATGACCATTTCAACAATCGAGGGATAAAGTGATAAGTTTTCATGTCACCCTTCGTTACCGCACTTTTGTAACCAAGATAAAATCTCCTTTATGCGCGAGGCGAAATGTGTTTTTTTTTGTAGTAATGGTTATAATTTGTGTCCCCCTATTTTAAGTGCTTCATGAAATTGGTCCCTCTATTTTAAATTTAAATAATTTTGGTCTCTCTGTCATGCTTTTGAAGTTAAAATTAACGATGCTTTTATTTTTCAAATGACAAGTTATTTGTAAGACATGATAAATTATCGTATATAAACATATTGTGAAACTTTATAGATAAAAATATAAATTTAAAAAATTGAACATCTCATTAATTTTCTATGAAAAAATGTGAGAGAGATTAAAATTGTTTGAATTTAAAATTGAAAGTCTAATTTTATAAATAAAGTATAATCGAGGGACCAATAGTGTAATTTAACCTAGAAAATTTTAGTAATTTATTTAGTCAATTTATAAATTTAATATACTTTTGATCGCCATATTTTTACTTATTCATCAGTATAGTCTTTCTGTTTTAAATTTAAACCGTTTTAATCTCTTTTTTACTTTTACATTTAAAATTGATGACACGTCCATTTTAAAGAAGTTGTACTTCTAAAACATGGCAAATAATCGTATAAGAATCTTTATAAAATTTCAAAGGTAACAAAATAAGAATGATTTGTTATTAAAAAATAAATACATAATTACTTTTTTGGAAAGGGCTGAAGTCCAAAGTACTATTCTATCTGTCTCATAATGAGTGACTCATTTGAAATAAAATAGTATCTCAAAATGTATCACTCATTTCAATTTCCAATATAATTTTTTCTATTTTATCCTCTAATTAATATTACTTTCATCATTCTCAATACATCATAAGGATACTTTAGTAAAAATGTCATTCTCTCTCTTTTATTTTTTTCGTAATATGTGTAAGAAGTCAACTGAGTCACTCATTATAGAACAGATGGAATATACAGGAGGACGTCTCCCAATAAAGATAGCCATCATATCCTCTATCCTCATTATACATAGTTTGCACCTCCATAAGACAAAAGTTATTCCTAATTTTAAATTATTAATTCATCATTAGTTTTAAATGTAAAAATATGAGTAGAGATGATTAAAATTGTTTAAATTTAAAATAATTAAACATTGGATCCGGAGGAGCGGGTTTGAACCTGCGACACTCCACTTGTTCATCTTTAATAATGTATACTCTAACTACTACTAGGTTACCAATAAAAATAGAGATTGGTTATGTGGCTCAGATAAAATAGAGGGATT